AGAAATTTTGCCTTGAAACAGGCCACCTACGGACCCCTCAAAGAGTTGTTGCAATGGTTCTTAACGTACAGAGAGCGTGGCACTCTCTCTACACGAGGCATCGGATTTAGCGTCCTCAGGTAGTTGAACATTGTTAGTTAATAATTTCTAACTTTTTAGTAGGGACTTTTAAAAAGGTACAGCAACTAAAATAAAAAAATAACAAACACTCTTCAAAAGTAATACATTTTTGTAGCATCTTGCATCGCCCACATACTCTTTTCCATTAGTCATTCATAAAAAAACCTTTTAATTTTATTTTCAATGTCAGATGTGGCAGTTACATGACATTCTCCAGTATTAAGTGTACAATTTCACTTATGTTGGCTTTAATGTAACGCAACGGGTCATTTGTCTATCTAGATCTTTGATAATTGTCCCAGTTCACACAGAAAAGTCTTAATTTTAAAACGTGCATTAGACCATGATAACTCGATCATGTATCCGTTTAATAACCCACGATCACAATATAAGATTTAGAGATCCTCAGATCAAGTGATCTTAAATGCGACCACGTGATAAGTGTCATTTATTAGGTCCAGTTTGTTAGGTTTCATGTTTCCCGTCAAAACAGATTATTGCTTTAAAAATCTTTTGACATGAACATAAATAAAAACATCAGTCATACAATATGCCCAATGAAGATTAATGTGTTCTCACTAGGAGTTTAAATTTTAAAGTCGTGAAATTGGAACAAAAGAAAATCTCTATATAAATGTGAGAACCAACACGTAATGAGAACAAACAAGACATAATTGTGGTTGTGTTCTAATTTTTAACCCCGACAGCTGTTCACGAGCTAGTACAAAGTCATCTTTGGTTATATCTTAATGCAATATACCTTTAGGATAAATTGTGTTTATTATAGCAAGTCTCCATAAAATTTTACATTTATTATGAAGATTTGTGTCCATTTAGATCTCGACAAATTAAGTTAACATTTATTTGCTGTTAAATACAGCAGTTTGAACTGTAGATGTGTTTTGAATTGATGTTGTCGTATTTGCACTTATATTTTTACAATTCATTTAAATAAAAATTAGAAATATCCTTTCACTTTGTACGATAAGACAATCACTAACACAAGATTAATGAATATGTGACGTAGTTTAAATTACTTCTTCTTCTTCCTCTTCAAAATGTTATCCAATGCTAGGCATTGCTGTTGTTGACATATGCTTTAAAAGGTAGAAAGCGGATATAACTTTGAACCATCACATTTCTAAAAAAAAAAAGGATATAACAACGTTCCAGCGGCGCCTCCATTATTGCTGCAAATGGAATATACATGTATATACCCATATAAAATTGCGGTTTTTATCCAACGCAATCATAGGTTTGAACGTTGTTTTCAATTTAGACTTGTTTATATTTTTTAGTTTGGGCTTGTATTACATGTATATTTGCCTTTGGGTTTATATGATCCGTTCATCCTATTTCGACTCTTCAAAATTCAAGAGTCTATCCTAAATTGAGGTAAATTATATGGCCTTCCAAATACCGTTTCGATTCCTTACATCACTGACATTAATTGTCGAAATCCGGATATGGTGTACTAATTTTTGCAGTGGCGTAGCTTGCCTTCTGTTTTAACCGAGGCAGGGGGTCTGGTGGCGCAGTCCCCCAGAAGCTATCGAGGTTTTTACAAGAAGAATCATTTTAAAATAAGTAATAGTTGTTGTTTAATTTTAAAAGGATTCTTCATAATAATGCTAATATGTCTAACACTAAGTTATACTACCTATTTATAAGGGGATTTCTGGTACCTGTATCATTTTCAATGTTCACATGAATACATCATTCAAAAGCCTTTATCACCTTTTATAATCGAATCCTCTCAGTGAACTTCCCAGATTAAAAATTCCGAATACAGGAGTTGGATCTCTCAAGTTCAAAATTGTCCTGAGTCTATAGAAAGTTATGTAATGGTTTAAACCGACACTATATAATCTACGGTCAACTCAAAGTTATAAAAATAACAAAACACGTGAAGATATCACATAAGACAACCACTGACAAGTCAGTTTCCTGACTTGCTAGCAGTAACTGAAAGCCAGCTCAAAAGCCTAATCTCCCAATATATTTCCAAGCCGTCTTACACTCTAATATGAGGGTTGTAATGGGGGTAGCTTCTTGACGAATAACGGTAAAAATTTTCGCCAAATGACGTTAACGGTAATTTTTGGTGCATGACGATAAAAAGTACACTCTCTTAAAAACGAAAAAAAATCGCCTGATTTTGATGAATCACGTAAAAGTTTTTCCAAAAATAACGGTAACGATAATTATTTGAGACCTCTGACGAATCACAATTAGGATATTTTGACGAATCGCGGTAAAATTTTAACCAATTTGACGCTAACGGTAGCCGAAAATGACCGTTTGACGCCTGACGGTAAAGGGCATTCCTACCTTCTAATATAGGTTGCTGTTCCTCACTGTAACATATGCTTTAACGTCATATCAAAAGAAATCATGTCCTTGTTCGAATACGATGGACAGAGGAAACCTGTACAGAATTTTTAATACAGAAAAACAAACGCAATGATTAAGGTTTATTTGAAATTATTTTTGAGATGATCATTTACACGCTTGGTCGTGGGTCACGAATAAGCGAATTATAGATAAGCATCACAAAACGACGGACGGATTGAACAGCAGAATTTCTTGATATTAAAAGTAGGAGATAAACACATGCTACATGTAAAGTGCATCACGGCACTTGTATTGGTTGTGTTTCGTCCTGGTATTCCTTGGAAGGTCTTCAAATTATTAAATGGTTTTGAACTTTTTACAACCGTCGAAGTACTAACATTTACGTTATTCTGAAGTCTTCGTGATAAATGAAAACAGTAATTGCTTTAAACTTTTATATATAAACTGACATTATGTGTTAACTAACAGACATATAATAAATATTTCTCTGGAATTAGTGACTCCTTTAAATATCTTAAATTCCCAGCTAGTGAAAACTATAAATTTAAAATGGCTAGAATAAAACTTGATAACTGCAACATATAAATTATTTTCTGTGCATGTTGATTGATGCATACATTTTATTTTGATTGGAACCAAAGTCAATGACACTCTGTGTATTTGAAGTTTTACACGTTATAAATGGTGGTTTGAATGTTCAAAATGGGGTTTTCAAATAAAATTGAGAATGGAAATGGGGAATATGTCAAAGAGACAACAACCTGACCAAAGAGCAGACAACAGCCGAAAGCCACCAATGGGTCTTCAACGCAGCGAGAAAACCCCGCAACCGGAGGTGGTCCTCAGATGGCCCCTAAATAAAATGTGTACTAGTTCAGTGAAAATGGACGTCACACTAAACTCCAAAACATATAAATGAACTAAAATTTAAAAAAACATACAAGACTAACAAAGGCCACAGTCTCCTGACTTGGGACAGGCGCAAAAATGCGGCGGGGTTAAACATGTTTTGTGAGATCTCAACCCTCCCCCTATATATATATATATATTTATTTTTAATTATTTTCACCCATTATTTGATTTTCCTTTCTTTTATATTGTAGCACCATATTAATCTCTTTTTTTAAGTTAAGATTAATTTCAGGGCCGATTGTTCTGTTTTCTAATTAAACCTAATCCAGTCTCTCATACACTAGACATTATTCTCACACAAAATTAAATAATTTACCCGATTCAATGGTAAAGTGATTCAATCGTATTCTACTGATTTTACTTGCAATTGAGTAGGACTCAATAAATATGTTGTCGATTTTTGTTTTACTCCGACAAATTTAGATGACAGAAACTACGATAAGGGGGATTTCCAAGTAGAGTAGGGAAATGTTTCCATAAGTCTTGAATTCGCAAGGGTATGAATCAATAGCGACAATAAGACAAAACAAGTCGATACATTAGCGTTTAGTAGCTAGTCTGTTGCATTAGGTGTAAAAAAGGTGGAAATCGTTCAAAAGATTATAAAGGAAAAATGTTTTGGTTTTGTTTTTTTTTTTCTTCTGAGGCAACTGCCTCGGTTGCCTCAACAACGTAAGCTACGCCAATGTTTTGCATCTTTTGTTTGCGGTATACCATCTTTTCCGCAAGTTTATTGTTTTCTGTTTGATATAAAATTAATATTTAAGATCCATTTTGTTACATCTGGTGATCATTTTATTTGCAATCGCCAATGGCAGTCAGGAGGGTTTAAGAACATCCGTTGTTCGACCTGCTATTCAAATGCGTTTTGTTAAAATATACTTTTTTGGACCCCTTTACCAAGAAACTTGTTTTGCATGCACACGTTTAAAAATTGCGGTTTTTATCCAACGCAATCATATAGGTTTGAACGTTGTTTTCAATTTAGACTTGTTTATATCCTATAGTTGATACAATATTCCAGAGCTTGCATTTTCTATAATGATTTACTTGATAGAGGGCTGCTGCTAACAAGGTAGCCAATAAAAACAAGAGTTCTAAGTTGTGATGTTGAAAGTAACCCTTCAAAAAGCTTACGGACGCCATCACGAGTTGGTTGACCGTTACAGAATATCTGTTTTACAGATGACGACAAATTTGCTCCAATTATCGTGCAAATGTAGTAACCACAACCACGTCCTCTTTTCCTCCAAATGTGACCTACTGAATAAGACTTATCACCGGGTTTTTACTTTCATGAGCATTACTACGGGTGCCACATTGTGAGCAGGATCTGCCACCCTTCTGGAGAACCAGAGATCGCCACTGGTTTTTTTGGGTGATTCTTGTTACTCAGTTTTTGATTGTCTATGTATTGTTTTGTATACTGTTGTTTGTCTTTTGATAGTTTTTAGTTTTTGCCATAGCGTTGTCAGTTTGTTTTCGACTAATGAATTTGAATGTCTCTTTGGTATCTTTCGCTTCTCTCTTATATAACTCTGTACATTACTGATTCTGATGATTATATTCCATATTAGGTAATCACTGATTCTGATGATTATATTCCATATTAGGTAATGGCAAGTTGGACATTGAAGAGCTGATGACGGTGTTGAGATGTTGTATGGAAGAAAGTTCGGTAAAACTTAGCGAAGATGATCTAGAAAATCTAACTGCCGTTTTATTTGAATCTGCAGATACAAAAAATACTGGATATATCTCATTTGACGAATTTAGAAACGAACTTGAAAAACACCCCGGTGTTATTGAGAATTTGACTATAAGGTAAGTGCTATAAACAAGTATACACACACAATTCGCCGTATCAGAAGTATACACACACAATTCGCCGTATCAGAAGTATACACACACAATTCGCCGTATCAGAAGTATACACACACAATTCGCCGTTTCAGAAGTATACACACACAATTCGCCGTATCAGAAGTATACACACACAATTCGCCGTTTCAGAAGTATACACACACAATTCGCCGTATCAGAAGTATACACACACAATTCGCCGTTTCAGAATCTAAAGGACTTTGGATAATTTAAGATGGTACCTAACACTACAGGGAGATAACTCTGTAAAAATCAGCTAAACGTTTTAATTACGTTGTATTGTTAAGGAAATATTAAGCTTCTCAATGATCAAAATTAGTGTTTGTCAAACTGCTATATAACCAAAGAAATTTTTCTGATAAAGTGGTTGGTTCAAATTTTTTGAAATTTTTATATTTTTGTCAAAGGGTCAAAGTTAACATTTTGTCAAAATTTTATGAAAATTAAACGAGCCAAATTAGTGTTAGTCAAGGTGTTGGGTACCACCTTAAAAAATGAAAATAACGTCACGTCATTGGTTGAATTACCATTGTTTAGGACTTTTTTTTATCAATCAAAACGATGAGGTATTCGCTTTTGAAAATATTACGCATAATGCATTAGATTTAGAAACAGCAAACTGAATGTATTACGCTATCCACTGGTACATGTTGTTACTATGGTCGCTACACCAAAATGATTCGCATGACATGGACACACAGTACCAGTTGAAGTTAAAAGAAAAACATGGCGGAAGTCTCCTAGCTCACGTGTTTACGCTTGACAATATTTTAGCAGATGAGGAACTCATACTGTTTTTTGGGATTTACGATTTATGTCCCTAGTTACAAAAGTTTGAATCAATACGTCAAATAAATTCGGCGATAATATATCAAGTTGCGAAACAGAGCTTTTCGACAAAAGTGGTAACCAAAAGAAAAAATATAAAATTGTGAAACGCTATACAAAGTCTTGATTTTTCAATTGTCTAAAGAAAAAAAAGAAGAAAAACGTTGCGTTGATGTCATGTCTTTGAGCTTTGGTTCAGTTACGAGGGTCTGGATTGGGTTTACAGAGAAGAGAATAAAGGGCAAAAAGTGCAGAATAAAAGGCAAAAAATATATAGAATAGAGAAAAACAGACCAAAGAAGTAAATAATAGAGAATAATAGGGTGCTAAATCATATAAAATAGATAACAATTGACAAAATTAACAATGCGTAGAAAAATAAAATATATAGAATACAGAATTGAAGGAAGTATGTATACCTGATGTCTATTTTTTTTGTTTACTTTTGTAGTTCCATGTTGTCTCATTGATATTTGTTTAACATAATTTTCTATTATTGATGCATATTTAATTTTTGTTGGTTTATATATAACTCATGATTTTATTTTCAGCGCAGCGCAATGGCTGAAACCACAAGACAACAGTAAAAAGAGAACAAATTCGACTCCAATCTGTTGCTCCAAACTTTGTTCAAAGAATTATTTCGCGAATAACCTTCGAAAAGTTTTATTCTATGTATGGTACGCAGTAGTGAACATAGTACTCATGGGTTATGCTGGATATCTCTATAGAGAATCAAATGGATTTCTCATTACCGCACGCGTTTGTGGACTTCCGCTGAACTTTAACTGTATGTTAATTCTTATACTAATGATGCGGAAATCCCTTACGTACCTCAGACTAACATTTTGGAATAATTTTTTACCATTGGATCATAATATTTTGTTCCATAAGAGAGTGGGCATTATAATTTTTATCCTATCAATAATACATACTGGAGCTCATATTGGAAACGCAGGTATGTATAAATAACAAAATAAAGGTTAAGATATAACAATCTAATAATTAAATTTAAAAATTAAAACAGCCGAAACAGCGATCATTGTTGTTAATGAAGTCAACGTGAATTACCCTGATCAAAATAAATCAGGGTGTGATGTTAAAGACTTTAATGGATTTGAAAAAGCGACAATTTAGCGTCTATCATAAAAAAAAAAAGAACTTGGCTGATGTCAAAATTATTTCGAAAGGATTTTCTTTTTGAAAAAAAATGACTGACAAGATGAGACTTAGAAACTATCACTTGGAGGATTTATGCCCCGCATTAATTTAATTGCTAGACTCAATGCTCTATTATGAACTCCGGGCTTCTTTAAGGAATTTTTGTAGGCTCCTGACTCCACGGGTATGTTTGTTAACAATATCAATAATAATGAGCAAAAAACAAAAGGACAGAGTAGAAAAAATAGATAAAACAATAAATAATTGGATGGTAAAAAATCAAGAATAGAGACAAATTGATTAAAAATACTAAATTATACAGAAATAAAGACCCCCCCCCCCCCCCGCACCCAGACACTCAATTAGGACATCGTAGCTTTGTTCGAAAAATTAAGTGCGTTCTGAATAGGTACTGCCGATAGATTAATCTCTACCAGGAATATATATTTTATACCAATTGAGAGTTAACTCTTATGTAAATCAAATCTTGTTCTAATGGCAAGATAAAACTTTTTTTTGTTAAACACGAAAGTATTTACAGGTATTGCACATGAAAAAAAATCATCCAATCATAATCTTACGCGTGAATAGCAAAACATACAAATCGTGCATCTCTAATTTCGATTATTACCCTTCAATGGTGTTTTACAACGCGTTGCATCATCCCAACTTTAAGCTCTGAGCGTTTCTGGTAAATGGCGATCCATTACTTTGCATGGAACGCATGAAACATGTACGTTATTACATTGATAGCCATGTTTTATTTCTCTCTCCGAATCCTTACACCAGAAGAGGTTGTACTGAAGATCCTTTCAATGATATTTCAATAAAATTGAGAATCGAAATGGGGAAGGTGTCAAAGAGACAACTACCCGACCAAAGAGCAGAAAACAGCCGAAGGCCACCAATGGGTCTTCAACACAGCGAGAAAACCACGCACCTGGAAGCGGGATTCAGCTGGCCCCTAAACAAACATGTGTACTAGTTCAATGAAAATGGACGTCACACTAAACTCCAAAACATATAAATGAAACATACAAGACTAACAAAGGCCAAAACGTTGTACCATACCCAAGTTTAGCTCTGAGTGTTAAAGACCTTTAAGGGTAATGAACTAAGTTGCATGCAACACTTAAAACATATACGTATAGCTTTGATGGTATAAAAATAAGATGTGGTATGATTGCCAATAAGACAACTATCCACCAGAGTTCAAATAAAGTGGGTGTAAGCAATTATAGACAACCATACGGTCTTCAACAATGAGAAAAAACCCATACCGTATAGTCAGCTATAAAAGGCCTCAACAGGAAAAAGGTGAAACAATTCAAACGAAAAAACCAACGTCCTAATTTATAACAAAACAATTTACGAAAAACAAACATGACAGACATGAAACAACAACCATGTTTTTCTCTCTCTCTCCATAGTTGTTGTGGCAGATGAAGGTGTATTGACGGTGGCAGACATCTTGGTTACAGATGCCGCAGAGCTTGGTACAATCATTGGTAGCGCTTATTTCACAGGTTGGGCTCTGGATATCATCCTGATTATAATGATAATATGTTCCATGGAGTTTGTTCGAAGATCAGGACATTTTGAGGTAACCTATAACATAAGACGCCAACGACGCAATGTTTGCTTTAGTTGTCATTTTTTTTTCTCTAAATTTTATTTTATATGCACAAAATATCGCAAACTTCGCGCCTTCGTAATCTCTAGATGTTATAAAAAATTGAGGTACAAATACACAACAAAGACATTTATATTCTTCATCTTTACCAGTATAAGCAATATTTCGCTCGTTCGTCCCCAAGGGTGACTGGGGAATAGAAATATGTCACTACAGGTCTTCTTCCGACCGGCAGTAGAACCCTTGCCAAAGTGGGGCGTCCGTTTGGTTGTGCGGGATGTACAAGTACGCAGCCACGTCCTGTCAGTATGGGGACGATAAATCCGATCCCTCGTGTAGAGAGAGTGCCACGCATCTGCATGTTAATAACACTTGCAACAACTCTTTGAGGGGTCCTTAGGTAACCCGTAGCAAGGCAACATTTCTGTCCCTATCCAAATTACCCTCATTTTCCAGTGGCAGTCTAAATTTCCCCGACCTTCCTCCGGACGGCCTACATTACAGAACCTACCTATAATATTTATTGTTAATTTGTTCTCGTCCTGAATATGCATGAAATATTTGCCACTGGACGTTAAGCAACCAACAATATTTCGCTATGATGATACATTTTTAGTAAGCAATAATCAGATGATAGCAACGTAGTTGCAAAATAAAAGCACTCTCGTAAATTACTATACGCAGTCTAATCGTCTTTGCATATGTAAATTGATGTATGTATTGATCTACACGTCCAAAATAGAGACGTACACATGGTGCATCAACTCATCTGAAAAAGTTCATTTCCTCACGTCTGATATTTTTGTTTTTTATTTACGCATCTACAAATTAATGTACAGTCATGGTTTTGTGTAACGTGTGATTTTTTACGTCACATGGCGGGTGATGCATACATGTACATAGCAGGGGACGCTTACCCGGTCAGGCTCCTTTTGGAGTTCTGGCGATTCAATCAGTTTTTGTTTGTTGAGTTGTATTCTTCATTGAATTATGAAATATAAATATCGGTAAACTACCAATTAAAATTAACCGGTTGTCTTATTATAGAAAAATCTTGAACTTACTCGCTTCACTTTTTATTATATTTATTGAATACTAGTAAATAGTTTTATATACCATAAATGCTTTTTTTCCATTTCAGGTTTTCTATTGGACACATATTTGTTACATACCTTTCTGGATTTTACTAATATTCCATGGGCCAAACTTCTGGAAATGGTTTATTGCCCCTGGATTCATATTCATAGGAGAGAAAATTTCTAGGTCAAAGTTCGTCAAACAAGCGCGATACGGGAAAACTTTTATAGAGGAAGTTTCTTTGTTGCCTTCGTCGGTATGTATAGCCAATATTATTGATAAGTATGGAATATCTTTTGTTTAATTATCTTAATTAATCGCAAGAACATAATGTCATCCGAAACTGAAAAATGGGAGTTACAATTATGGCCCGAAAACAACTGATTGCTGTCCAAGTAGAAAGTTATTATGGAAGTTGTGCACATAAAAATGTGCATTGTCCAATCACATTATATTAAAAAAATATTTAGTTTTTAATTCAGGTATGTGCAATAATGGCAAAACCAACAAACAAACAACACGATAATTGCTTTCATTGTCGAACTGTAGGTAGCTCCGGACCGGTCGGCTTTGTGGTACGCCTTTCTTCTTTTTTCAAAACAATTTGATTCGTATATGTTAACTAAATATAGATACACAAAAATTGGTAAGAAGATCGTTTTTGAAGAGTATTTTTGTTTTTATTTGTTTTTTTCAACTGTTTTGATTTGAGCTCGACAGATGAGACTTATGTAGACCAAACGGGCGACTGGCTCACTAATCGTGCATAATGCACAAAAAAGATAGAATACAATGTTTCCAAATTCTTGTGAAAATCGAAAGTTTCTAACAGCAATGATACATCAGGTTTTTTTTAAAGATCGACAGTATTAATGTTAGGCTATACATACCTTAAGTCGGAAATGAAATATGAAGGTTGGTCACGGAACTATTGTTTTTAAATTTTGCCTTCCTAATTTAGCTGCAATCGATCAAATCCTTTAATTCAGTGATTTTAGCACAAAAATAAAACCTTACAGCACATTCCTCAACTAATTTCTTTCTTAAAAAGTTTAAACACAGAGAACAAATGTATCATTGATTATGAATTAGAATGCAACATGGTTTGTAACGTTCATTTTGATTGAATAACAACGGTACACTTTGTGATAGTCATGAAATCATCGTGAAAGATACAGTTCTTACTTAAACATGTGTATGGTCATGCATTTAGTAATTTGAAGATATTTGCATACATCGAACTATTAAAAGATTTTCTCACTTGATTTTACGGGAATTTTGTTTTTTCATTTCAGGTTACACACTTAGAAATATCTCGTCCTGCTAATTTTGCATACCAGCCAGGAGACTATGTGTTTATTCAGATACCAGTAGTATCCAGACATGAATGGCACCCGTTTACAATTAGCAGTGCACCAGAGCTTGATGGTGGGTAAAAACATCTACTTTGGTATACATGTTAGGTTAAAGGAACGTGTATTTTATATGTCTATTTCTATACTCACTGTGATCAGGGCATCTCTATACTCACTGTGATCGGGGCATCTCTATACTCACTGTGTCACACTGTGATCAGGGTATCTGTATACTCACTGTGCCACACTGTATATACTCAGTGATCAGGGTATCTCTATACTCACTGTGCTACACAGTGATCAAGGTATCTCTATACTCACTACCACACTGTGATCAGGGTATCTCTATACTCACTGTGCCACACTGTGATCAGGGTATCTGTATACTCACTGTGCCACACTGTATATACTCAGTGATCAGGGTATCTCTATACTCACCCTGCCAAATTGTGATCAAGGTATCTCTATACTCACTGCCACACTGTGATCAGGGTATCTCTATACTCACTGTGCCACACTGTGATCAGGGTATCTCTATACTCACCGTGCCACACTGTGATCAGGGTATCTCTACACTCACTGTGCCACACTGATTAGGCTATCTCTATACTCACTGTGCCACACTTCGATCAGGGTATCTCTATACTCATTGTGCCACACTGTGATCAGGGTATCTCTATACTCATTGTGCTACACTGTAATCAGGGTATCTCTATACTCACTGTGCCACACTGTGATCAGGATATCTCTATACTCTATGTGCCACACTGTGATCAGGATATCTCTATACTCACTGTGCCACACTGTGATCAGGGTATCTCTATACTCACTGTGCCACACTGTGATCAGGGTATCTCTATACTCACTGTGTCACACTGTGATCAGAGTATCTCTATACTCATTGTGCCACACTGTGATCAGGGTATCTCTATACTCACTGTGCCACACTATGATCAGGGTAGGTGAAACGTTTCAAGTAAATTGGAATCAAAGGTTATGCGTTGAATACAATAATCAGGAGATGTATGTGGTATGATTGCCAAAAATGTCACTGAGACCAGTTTATCTAAAACATTTCAAGTTCAAATAATGAGATATGGTATGATTGCCAATGAGACAACTCTCTAACAGACAGACGATGATGTTAACAACTATAGGGGACTAATACGGCCTTCCCCAGTAAGCAAAATCCATACTGTAAAGTAAACCCCGGCAGAACAAAATGTAAAACAATTCAAATCAGATAACCAACGACCAGTGCATATTTTACAGTATGTTTATTGTTGTTCCTCATCTTCATCATAGAACTGCAGAGATAATCAATTGAATAATGGCTTCTTAACATCCACCGGCTAATATTGCATACTTATTTTTTAATTTTTTTTTATGGGGAATTAAATATGCTGCTATATGTAGTGCGGTGAGTTTGAATTTTATCGTATTAGCTTAGATCCGTTAAACAGTGTGTGGATGACCTGTTTCTTTATTTGTACACACTATTCAAATTAGAACGTATTACAGCAAGGTCAAATGTCGACTTTTAGCATACATTTCTTGAATGGAAAACTAGTATATATAAAAATAAGAAGATGTGGTATGATTGCCAATGAGACTACTCTCCACAACAGACCAAATGACACAGAAGTTAACAACTATAAGTCACCGTACGGCATTCAACAATCAATGAGTAAAACCCATACCGCATAGTAAGCTATATAAGGCCCCGAATTGACATATGTAAAACAATTCAAACGAGAAAACTAACAAATTATATAACAAAACGATTTATGTACAAAATAATGAACGAAAAACAAATATGATATACAGCAACACACATACAGAATGTGGCTGGGTTAAACGTGTTAGCGGACGCCCAACCGTCCCCTAACCTTGGACAGTACGTACAGTACGTTGTGTAACAGTACAACATATGAACAAACTATAAATTCAGTTGAAAAAGGCTTAACTCATCAGATCGATACAAAGCAGAAAAACAAGTAACAAAAACACAGACCGGACGTGGCAGGGTATTTATACATCCCTACAACAAAAGACACTAAGTACAGATCTGAGAGTACTCGCAATGACTGACAGCTATTTCAAAGCCAATAACAACTATGGTTTTTTCCTAAAAAAATATTCTGATCCCCAATTTGATGAAAAAAAAAATATTGTGGTCAAGCAGATGAGAAAAAAAATATTCTTAATCCAGATTTTCCCAATATCTTATAATGTTAAATTTTGATAAATATAATTTGATTGATAGCGTCAAAAAAATAAAAAAAAAAAGTTTTTTGACTCAGACAAAAAAACTATAACCCCCTCCCCCCTTGAAGTTAAATGGTTGCTCCCTAAGGAACGGAAAGTACCGAATTTAAAATATCAATATATATTCCAGGTAGAATATGGTTACATGTTAGATCTGCGGGAAACTGGACAAAGAGTTTGTACAAATATTTTGACCAGTACGATCCTGGTGAAAAATATGATGAAGAAATAGTTGCCTCCCTTGCTCCTACTAATCCATTAGACCGACGAATGAGGGTTACTCTCAAACATGAGACACTAGGTAAGAAACATAAATATGCCAATAGCTGGAACAAATTACCGTTTAATTGCACATTTTCATTATGTGTCGGCTTTCGATAGATTTCGTGACAAGCGAACCCTTTGAAGTTTGTTCCAGAAAAAAGTGCACACTAAAATTGTCTACATAAGTTTAAGCAAAAGAATAATATATTTTATACATATTTTGTTGCAAAGTACTTTTAAACTACTTGCAGAAAATGTACATTTATATTTATTCAATATATTATATTACCGATTTGACACGGGAGAGATCCGTAACATTCCTGCCAAACAATTAAATATTTTTATTCGTTTTGAGGTTTGCTGCAATGTAAACGAAACATCTTCCTTGTGTGGAATTGAAGATCAGTGGTTATCTGGTTTGGTATCATTAGTAACACATATCTATGGCACGCCGTTTTATTATATATTATAACTTCAAGATATTTAATAAACTTTATAAGAAATCTCATATAATTTATCCGATATCTCATATTATATATAAGATATCTCATTTAATTTATAAGATTTCTCATATAATTTTTTCTATGAGATATCTTATAAGCTATATACATGATATAAGATATCTTATAAGCTATATACTGTAAGATATATTATAAAGTTTATAAGATATCTTATAAAAGCTAGAATATATAAGATATCTTATAAAAGCTAGAATATATAAGATATCTTATAAAAACTCGATCATATAAGATATCTTATAAAAACTAGATCATATAAGATATCTTCTATATTATATGATCTAGTTTGTCTAATGAAGTTAGAATAGTAAAACGGCTTGCCATACATATCGAACAGAACTATAAACAATAAAAGCAATCCAGAATAAAGAGGAAAATCCAGAATGTCCTCTTTGTGGATAGATATAATTATGCAAAGTTTATGAATTTATCTCAAAAAGTGCAAATACAACAACTTATCTCTATTTTTGGTAAACCGTTTCCTTGTATGGAATTGATAGTTAGTGGTTATCGGGTTTGATATCATTTGTAATACATATCGAACAGACCTATCTTTAAACAATAAAGGCAATCTAGAAAAAAAGAGGAACATCCAAAATGTCCTCTTTGCGGACTGAAATATGCCAAATTTATGAAAGAGAGGCGAAAGATACAAAAGGGACATTGAAAATCATAAGTCAATATAAACTGACAACGCCATGGCTAAAAAAGAAACAGACAAACAGACAAACAACAGTATACATAACAACACATAGAAAACTAAAGACTGATCAAAACGAATCCCACCAAAAACTGGGGGTGATTTCAGGTGCTCCAGAAGGGTAAGCAGATCCTTATGAATTTTTCCAAAAAGTGCAAATACATCAACTGATTTCTATTTTTTGTAACTGTTTTTGATAAATTCAAAGCTGTAATTAGCTCGGTGGGAGAAATTGTTCTATCTGACATAGATATAAAATGAATTATGGTAGTTAGTAAGTTGGAAGAAATTTCTTCTATCAAACATTCAATGAAACAGCGGTTAGTTCGTTGGAAGAAATTTCTTCTATCAGACCAAAATTTAGATCTTAAATGAAATACATGTAGTCGCTGGTTCGTTGGCGATTCTACCAGACATAGACCTAAAATGAAATACTTGTGGCAGTTATTTGGTAAGATGGAAGAAATTTCTTTTTTCAAACATTCAATGAAATAAGCAGTTAGTTCATTGGAAGAAATTTCAGATCTTCTATCAGACCAACGTTTTACATTTAGACCTAAAATAATTGTGGCAGTTAGTTGGTTGGAAGAAATTTGTTCTACATGTAACAGACCTATATTTATATATTAAATAAAACAAATGTAGCTGTAATTTATTATAACACATTTTGTCTGTTTAAATACAGAACGAGGCACTGTTGCCATGAGAAGAAGAACTTTATCAAGCAAAAGAAAAAAAACAAGATCATTGGGACCGAAAACTGATCCGGTATGTAACCTCGTTATCGTTCGCATACTCCTCGTTCTATGTTAAATGAACTCAACCATTGATGATTTGATTCCGTTAAATGTGTATCCATTTTAATTTGATTCCGTTAAATGTGTATCCATTTTAATTTGATTCCGTTAAATGTGTATCCATTTTAATTTGATTCAGTTAAATGTGTAACCATTTTAATTTGATTCCGTTAAATGTGTAACCATTTTAATTTGATTCCGTTAAATGTGTAACCATTTTAATTTGATTCCGTTAAATGTCACGGTAACCATTTTAATTTGATTCAGTTAAATATGTAACCATTTTAATTTGATTCCATTAAATGTGTAACCATTTTAATTTGATTCCATCAATGAGTGAAAACAATACTTTGAATTTATTAACTTAATTAAAAGCGGTATTTACAATATCTTTATTTTAATCAAACACCAAAAACAAAGTTGACCGTGAGCACTACATGCTACCGTAAATATGGTCGTCAAACTGGGATGTAAAAGTGCAATGTACTACGCAGTTCGGATCACTCTTCATTCGAATCTTTTCAGAACACCCGTTTCTTTCCAAAACAGTTTATATCAAAATATAGGTGGCGTACGTAACAAAATAAAATGTCTGAAAACCTGATATTATTTTCTGTTTTAGAAAGAAGAAGCACGAGAACGAAGAGTCGCATTACGTAATAAAATAGTCAAAATACAGGTATGAACTACATTTAAGATCGATAGGATGCCTTTATTTCCGTATTCTTCCACTTTTGGGCGATTTTTCTTCCTTTTTGTTTTGGCCTATGTTTCTTTAATCTTTATATTTTAGAACCCATTATGCTTGTTTTTAATAAATTTTTAAGTTAATTTTATTCTTTTCTTGATTTTGATTCTTCCTTATTCTCTACAATGTAAACCTCATCAAGACCCTCATTGAACCCTAGGGACAAACAAAATTCAGCATCGTCATAACAAGACTGTCTCTAAGGTTTTTAATATCAATTACATCACTTTTTTGTAATTTTGCTTAAAAGCAACAGTGTAATTAAATGTAAAGTTTTGACACCAAACTGCATGCGCAATGGAAGCAAGTTATATAGGATTAAACACATTTGTCCGTGAGGTTATTGCTGTGTCACTTCGAACGATTAACTCAAAAACTGAATCAGAACTTAAATTTAATGGCCCCTCTTCACATACACGGATCTTTCTTATAAGTATTTACGGATCGCCAACTCGTAGTCAATCGCACGCAATTATAAATTACTTGCTGGTATCCGTAAATATCTCGTAACAACTGGCAGACACTCTTAAGGATCCGTGAATATGGTGAAAGGAGAGGCCAATATTTTGACATGTCATAATCTCTTTAGTATACGATTGTCCACGGATTGATTTTTTCGTAAATAACTCGCAACAACACGCAGCCATCCGTTAACTGCTCACCATAATCCGTAAAGCTAGGTTCACATTGCCGATCAGATCAACTCGATGATCCCGATTGTCAAATTTCCAAGACCAAGCGTAACCAAATTCGTGATCGGGCCTGTTTACGACTTCTACCCGACCGCTAAGGGGAGGGGGCATTAAGTGTTACCCTTGTTCGTCCGTACGTACGTACGTCCCAACAATTAGTTTCCGTTCTCTAACTTTATTTTGCCTCAACCAAATGTTATGAAACACAGAAAAGTGCGAATTTGGGTGGCGTCACTTTTACCGTTCTTGAGTAATGACCCTTTATAACGTTATATTCAAGCGGGGGCTTTATCAGTGTCCCATGGACAAATTCTCCATTTATTTAGTTAGATTCAGTAGTTCACAGAAGGTCTGAGTAAAATCATACATTTAAAATATCTACATGGAAATAAAGCAGTTGGAATTGTGAGAAAGGTGGTAAAAGCTCCAGAGAGACAGATAAATAGCTTTGACGGAGCTTGAAGTGAGCGTAGAATACGAACAAGAATGCGTAGACAGCAACGGGCGCCGAGAAATGTAGGTGAGGCAGTTGCTGACACGGCGACCACTGTATGGGAAGTATAAGAGACTTGCAGGAGCTCAAGAAATTGGACCCCAATGGTTATAAAACCTTCCTTAGAGTAGACGCTGATATGTTATGGGAGTTTTTACTGCTCTTTTCTTGAAAATGACACCACCAAATGAGATTTGTCACCGGATTGGTACTTATATTAGATAACAATATACATAAATTTGACCATCCCTTTTTCCTTGCTTTCTTACAAATTAAGCTTACTTTGACCTATAATGGTTTACTTTTACAAATTGTGACTTGGATGGAGAGTTGTCTCATTGGCACTCATATCACATCTTCTTATATCTATTTACTGTTTGTGTCATATATGTGCATATGTATGTAAACAGTATTTTCCATAAATTTGATATCCAGTAGTTGGATGGTTAAAGATCATTTTTTTTTGTGTATCCATGGCAACAACCTGCATGTATTTGCTAAAAAAATATTGCAAAAATGGGGTAAAGATGTCGAATATTTCAAATTTGGCCAAAAGTAGACTTTCAATCCCTTGGATTGATACCTTTTCTGAAACTGTTTACATATATCTATCGAGAGATCAATTAAAAAGCATGTGTCTTTCGTCTCATTTTTTGTAAAATTGCGTCAAAAAGTTCGTGTGTAAAAAAAGTGTTTGTAAACACTTGGCCGTACGGTGACCTATAGTTGTTAATTTCTGTGTCATTTGGTGTCTTGTGGAGAGTTGTCTCATTGGGAATTATACCACATCTTCTTATTTTTATACTACAACATTTCTGGACCTGCGGAAAATACGGACAGTAACACAGAAAATAGCCCATAAAACAGGTAAAAAATAATCATGATGTTCTTATAAACTCACTTTGAAGGCTAAATTAGTCATGAGCTGTCTAAAAATGAATTTTATTGCACAATTATTTTCATGTTTGAGAAATCCTCCGAGGCTAAAATGCAGGATCTACTTCCCTTCCGGAACACCTGAGATCATCCCAGTTTTTTGTTGGGTTCTTGTTGCTAAGTTTTTAGTTTTCTATGTTGTGTTATGTGGACTGCTGTTGGCCTTCTCGTCGGTTTTCGTTTTTCGCTATGGCTACATTATGTCGGTTTGTTTTCGACCTTTGAGTTTGATTGTTCCTTTAGTATCTTTTTCCTCTCTTTTAAAATTTAAATCCTCCTTGCAAAAGTACAGACAAGTACTGTACATAGAGGAATTTTTGCGGAGTTAATCTTTTGTACAGTTAAAAATAAACAGTGACAATATATTTTTGCGGAAGCAAAGTTATGAAATTTAATCAGATCTGCACACCCTTTTAGAGAATCGTGTAGCAGTCATGTGTACTTGTGTATGACCGAGTAGAGATAGAAGAGTGGTAGAATATGGTCAGGTATTGGTCGAGTTGGTCTAGGATAAAAAATAATAGAAGTCGCAGTGATCTGGGAGCGATCGGGCATTGCCCGAGTTAATCTGGACCATAGATCAAACAGGTTGGCGTTGATATGGAAATGATCGGATATTAGTCAGCAAAGGTCGAGATGATCGAGTACTGATCGGTTTAATATTTGTATCCGACCAAACTCGATCTCTACACGATCCTTTCCCGATCAATTCGACCGCTACTCGACGGATTCCAGATCTATTCTCGAGTGACTGGCTTCTCGATCCTTACTCGATTTTTTATTTACATGATAAAAATTCTCGGGTAGAAAGTCAGATCGCTGACGATCAAGGTAGACAACCCCGAACATTTTTGTCGATTGAGTCAGACCAGTCTCCCGATCACTTAATCTGTCTTAATCGGGCTTAATCTAGTTGATCTGATCGGCAGTGTGAACCTGGCTTAAATAACTTGTAAAAATTTGTTTTTACGATTTGTACGGTTAGTTTACGATTTGTTAATGTATTATTTCGAGTGCTTACGTGTTGATTACGATTTCATTCGGTTGTGTTAGTACGATGGCTTAACTGGTTGTTACGAGTTATAACGAGTACTTTACATGTAATCATGAGTACTTTACAAATACATGTAGATACGTATACCTCACGTATTCTTGAGTATTGTTTACAATCTATGGAAAGGTTTAAAAGCTGCAAAATCGTAAGGACTCGTTAATATTAACTATTCGTAACTGACACGTAAAAGCTTCGAGGAATAGTAATAATCTTTAACATACTCGTGCTCGTAGTTATACGTGATAACTCGTAACAATATCTTGAAATAATCCGCAATAAACCGTGTATAGCTCGTAATAACTCGTAAAAACTCTTAAACCGGTCGTAAAAGTGACCAAAAAAGGAACCGTGAATTTGTGCGATCCGTAAGGACTCGAAAGAAAAATCCGTGTATGTGAAGGGGGCATAAAGCTGCGAGTCAGCGGCCCAGTTTATACATCAATGACATCTAGAAGAAATGTTTTTAATTCTCATAACTCTCAACCAAGACAGTTTACACATCAATACTAAATTTTTGTTGTGCTTCGACTTAAGTTGTGCTTCAGTTTTGGCATGTTTAGATGTTTAGTTTAGTAGTGCTTTGCATGTTTTTCAATATGCCTGTGTTGTATCTATGCATTGAAATATATGCTGCTTATATATCTTATCTACATGTTCTGTGTTTTCATGTTATGTATATGTTATTTATATTCGATAAAAAGCTCTCAAGAGCTTAATATGTTTGTACTGTTATATATGTGAACCGAATCAAAATAAAACTTTCGTATTCGTATTCGTATACAATAGCCTCCTGGAAAAAATAAGTTTCATCCTATATTTAGATTCCATTGGATTCTGTAAATTCTAAATGTTTGCGTGCATTTTTGTATAGACCTTCGCTATTTGGAAATCTGCGCCGCTTGACCCGAGAATCTGCGCCTGTTGAACAATCACTTTTCCATTGTGGCGTCAGATATTTTCTATTATGACGTCAAAAATTTATGGGAACCTTTGTGATGTTCGGTAATGGCGGACAAATAGCAATAAGGTGTATTGCAATTGTTGAACAATAGACGAAAACAAAATATTGATTTTAGGAATTGCTGCATACACAAATAATGCTTTAAAAATCTTAAATGCTAGTTTTTATTTGTTATTTTTGAGAAAGTTAACCCGTCACCTTTTTTAGCATTACTAAAACATTGCAAAAGTTTCTGAATTTGCAATACTTAATTTTACATTTTCTACTTTTCAACAAGTGTTACATAGATGGCCCTTACGGTACAGCTACAAGAGAAATCTTCACAACAGAACATGCTGTTCTAATAGGCGCCGGAATAGGCGTCACACCAATGGCGTCAATCTTACAAAGTGTCATGTATAAGTTTAAAGCATCAAAAAGGCATTGTCCTAGCTGTAGTCATGAATGGTTGGGAGAATTTACTACAGAGGCAATGAAACTTAAAAAGGTACGTGCTCATTGTTCTTAGTATAGTCATAAATGGCCAGGGGAATTTACTACAGAAGCACTGAAACTTATAAAGGTACGTGCTCATTATTCTTAGTTCAGTCATTAATGTTTAGGAGAATTTACTACAGAAGCTATGAAACTTAAAAAGGCACGTGCTCATTGTCCTTCAAATTGTCATGAGTGGTTGGAGAATTTACCAGAGATCCAAGTAAACTTAAAACGCTACGCAATCATTGTCCCAATAATAGTCATATAGTTGTTTCTGTTCCGTGTTGAAAGCCTCACTGTGACTTTGAGATGAAGAACAGCAATAATAGCGCTGTTCCTTTGCTTTTTGTGTTTTATTTTGCTCTGCAAATACTGATTTTGCGTCATGAATGGATATCATGACCAAATCCTTTCTTTTCTAGTATGAATGGTCTAAAGAATTTACCACTTACGTAATGGAATTTAACATTGGCAGGTACAAGCTTTATATTCCAATCACATATTTAACGAATCAGACTATTAAAAAAAAAAATACAATGTATTAGCCTTGCTATGCAGATCAGGTTTTTCTTTCAAAATATTCCTTTTTACGGAATCATGGGCTTTGTCCTCAGTGCCGTATCAAGCGAGTAGTAAGAATAAACTATCACAGACAAGTATACGAACATCACGTTTAGCTTCGAACCTCCACCCTTATCTCCTTCGTTTATTATTAAACTGTGCTTCATATATAGACGTAATAAATCAAATGTTTACATAATATCTCGTCATTTGTGTTTTGCAATAACTTGTAATACTTAATTTAGGTGGATTTTATTTGGATTAATCGGGATCAGAAGGCCTTCGAATGGTTTATATCATTACTCACAGCGTTAGAAGTCGAACAATCGATTGGACACGGTGAAGATAACCCGGATGAGAAAATTATCGATATGCACATGTACATGACAGCAGCAGTTAAGAAAACGGAAATGAAAGGAATTGGTTTACAGATCGCGCTGGATCTAATGCACGAGAAGTCACAACGAGATTTGATAACTGGATTGCAAGTTAAAACACAACCAGGTCGTCCAGATTGGAATAAGGTGATTTTATAAGCGTCGAAACCCCATTAGTAGTATCATAAATGAAAGCTGTAGGCATTATAGTCATCAAACTAGTACTATATCAAAGCATTCATTTAGATTCGGTGTAGTTACAAACAACAAAACATAAGCTCTAATGTGGAGCTTTTAACTGAATACATACAAACATATACAACTGTTTTCAATATAAAAAGCTTAATCGTGCAAGCTAACTGAAAAAAGAAAAGCACACATAAAAGTAAGCACAACACAAGCATAGAAAAATAAATTATAAATGTTAGCATAGCCATAAAAGACCAAAGTAATGTAAAATAAGCACAGTCAAATAAAATGAAAGCTTATCTACATGCAGAACAGCGACATTCCAAGCCTTTCCAGCTAGAACTGTATAAGACTCTTGAACTGAGTATATTTTTTTAAAGAAGACAGGTAATCGTTGAGAAAGATGTATAAACATAGATATTTGATATACAATAACCATACACATCTATTAGTCAGTATACTGATTTCAACATTTAAAAAAAAATACATAGCCTTAAATAGCCCTGAGCCTAGACCAGGAATGAAAATACTACCAAAAAAGAGGGGAGAAGCAGGAAAAACACACTAAACAAGAAAACTAAAGATTGAGTGACAAGAACAACACTAAACATTGGTGTTGAGTAATGTGCACTTGAACGACAAACAGTTCCGGCTTCACAAAAAAGTGGCACGTGTTATTTGTACCAGGTAAAATCCGTTGATATGTCGCGTTCAATGATGTCACGAGGAAGTACGAAAATGCGGCTACGATAAGGCGAACATATCCTTGGATATCTGTGAGACAGATGCATGTATTTCATAACCTAATTATGATGACTCCGTATAACTTTGAAGAAAATTTCACCCCTACTTGATCATTTAAAACCCTTCAACATTTTACAAAATATTCCCTTGATCAGTACATACGTTTAAAATTTTCTATTTAAAATTTTGCAGGTATACATTCAAGAATTGTCGGCCTTCTATTAATATACATGAAGAGTAAAATTTTAAATTTTGTTTTCAGGTTTTCAGCGAGATATCTTCAAAACAGAAAGGAAAAGTCAAAGTGTTTTTCTGTGGAGCTCCTCAATTAGGGAAAACCATAAAACTAGCATGTGAAAAGTTTTCTTTTGATTTTGCAAAAGAAAATTTTTGAATTTTTAATGGAAGTTATTTTGTTAGTTTAATGCCATTTTATTCATGTTACTTATACATAAATATTTTGTACTTTGTAATAAAAGACTTTATTTATTTTGTTGTTTGGATTTTGGTTATTATTCAAGGCAGTGAACCTGTTCAGATCCTTGTTCTCTATTCTATGGCGAATAGTTTCATCGCAATCACCCATCTCCTTTTTAGCTCACCTTTCCAAAGGAAATGTTAGCTTTTGCCATCACTTGGCGTCCGTCGTCGTCCGTCATCGTCCGTCATCGTCTGTCGTCGTCCGTCGTCGTCGTCGGCCGTCCGGTGTAAACTATTTTAAACATCTTCTCCTCTGAAACTACTAAACTAATTCCAACCAAACTTAAGCGTAATGATCCTTAGGGTATCTTAAATTAAATTTGTGTTTTATTTTCTGTTTCGTCAAAAAACATGGCTGTAATGGCTAAAAAAGAACATAGGGGTAGAATGCAGTTTTTGGCTTATATCTCATAAACTAAAGCATTTAGAGCAAATCTGAAATGGAGTTAAAATGTTCAGTAGGTCAAGTTCTATCAGCCCTGAAATTTTCAGATGAATCTAACAACCCATTGTTGGGTTGATGACACTAAATTGTTAATTTTAAGGAAATTTTGCAGTTTTCGGTTATTATCTTGAATATTATTATAGTTAAAGATGAACTGTAAACAGAAAAATGTTCATCAAAGTAAGATCTACAAACAAGGTTTTAATTATATGACCAAAATTGTCAATTGACCCCTTAAGGAGTTATTGTCCTTTCAAGACAATTTTTCATAATTTGTTCATCTAGTTTGCTTACTTCAAAAAATCTTCTCCGTTGGAACTGCTAAATCAATTTCAGCCAAACTTGGGCTGAATGAGTTTCAGAGTATCTAGTATAAATTTTGTATTTTATTTCCTTGTACGTCAAGAAAAAAGCCACAATAGCTAAAATCGAACATGGGGTAATATGCATTTTTTGCTTTTGAAGAAAATATGACAGATACAAAGAACATTTAAATAGCATTTTTAAGCCACTCATTAATATATATTGAAAAGCAAAAATAATCATTGATAGAAGATTTAAGCAAAACATTACAGGTGAGCGATTCAGGCTCTTGAGAGCCTCTTGTTTATATAGTCGGGCATATGTAGGAGTATTGTTTATGGCAGTTTGGTCGAACATCAAACCGAAGTCCTAATCAATTTGAATATGTTACTGAGGCACAATTCTGTATAAAAGGTCAATGGTTGAACTTTTTTTACATTTTTATTTTATAATTTTAAAGTATAACATAGTAATGAGCAAAAGGAGACAAGGGTTATACACCAATACACCTTATCGTTATTAAGGCCATTCCGACAAAAAAAAAAACCAGTCATTTAGACAACTTCTTGGTTGGATCAAGTTGCGCAAAAAAATCTTAGGTCATCAGTAATGAGCTGAGGGAGGAAAACGTGTTGAAAGTGAACATTTTGAAATTTGTATAGTTTATGATCGAATTTTTTAAACACAGAAATGTTTTGTTTGAACTGTATACAATGGTTTAAACATAACTCTTTGAAATATTTTAACCACAGTACATTGTTTAAACAGGGCCCCGGGTAGTTTCAACTGGATTGAAAGAGTTGTGTAATTTCAGAACTTATCCGCAATGGAATAAATAGCGATAAAGTGTATGAGACAGTAACACAAAGACACAAACAACCAAAAACACATTCAATAGAGGTAAACATGAAGTCCGAAATACCAGACACGTGCTTACAAGACTTCGAATCGTCCCAAGTTTAACGAAAAGTGAACATTGAATTGAATAGTCTCACACCTGGTATCCCGATCCGAAATTCGCGAAGGGATCCGATACCCGCGGAGCAATTACATGATGACAAGGTTTTTTTTTTAACTCCCTTGACTACCTAGGAGGGCATTGCACAGTTGGTAATTATGCAATTACACGAGATCTTTTTGACATATTTGCTTGTTAAGGTTATAACACAATGTTGACTGCTGTATCAAGGTTGACTGCTGTATCCCTTTTTTTTGACATTTTTACCTATTATGTCTATTTGTTTTGTTAACACATCATTGTCAATATAATTGAATTTTATGCGACTGTCATACAAGTGAGAGGTTTAGCAAGCTTTAAAACCAGGTTAAATCCACCATTTTCTACATCAGAAAATGCCTGTACTAAGTAAGGAATATGCCAGTTGTTATCCAATCGTTTGATGTGTTTGAGCTTTTGATTTTGCCATTTGCTTAGGGACTTTCCGTCTAGAATTTTCCTTGGAGTTCGGTATTTTTGTTATTTTTCGCCACACGTTAGGTAAGTTAAATTTGAATCTGATTCCCACGGAGCATAATCCTAGATTACGAATTGCACTAAATAGAGTGTTATTGCTTCTTAAGATTCGGATCCCTCGGCGGATTTCGGAAAAGAAAATCATTGTCGGGGTTCTGGGAGAGAGCATGTGGTGAATTTAAACTATTAATATGACATAGCCGTTCTCCTTCAGTGGACTTACAGTAGATACAAAACACAACAGATAACCTAAATTCGCATAGGAAAGCACTAATCTGAAATAAAAAAATCAAGAACATATTGATTGATTGATGGATTATTGGTGTTTAACGACACTTTATCAATGTTGTCTATATCCTGGAAGGCAATTTTAATTTGGTGGAAGAAGGCAAGCCAGATTACCCAGAGAGAACCATCGACCTCCGACAGGAAAGAGTGAATCCTTGTCAATTTAGATCGGAGTCGAACACACCTTCCGCCGAACCGGATTGGAACTCACAACTTCAGTATTGTTAGGCTAGTGATACCCTTAGAATAACTACTTCGAACACTCGACTACCAACTCCTCTAAATAAAATTTAATCAAAATAATGATAAATAATCAATACTGCATCACAGTTTGCTGATATTTACCGAAAAGACGCTGTTCAGACCCGTTCATTTCATTGGATGAATTTTTATAATTAACTACATTTCATTGGATGAATTTTAATAATTAACTTCATTTCATTGGATGAATTTTTCTAATTAATTTCATTTCATTGGATGAATTTTTATATTTAACTTTATTTCATTGGATTAATTTTTATAATTAAATTCATTTCATTGGATGAATTTTTATAATTAACTTAATTTCAATGAATGAATTTTTATAATTAAATTCATTTCATTGGATGAATTTGTATAATTAACCTCATTTCATTGGATTAATTTCTATAATTAACTTCTTTTCATTAGATGAATTTTTATAATTAACTTCATTTCATTGGATTATGGATGAATTTTTATAGTTACATTCATTTCATTGGATGAATTTCTATAATTAACCTCATTCCATTGGATTAATTTTTATAATTAACTTCATTTCATTGGATGAATTTTTATAATTAACTTCATTTCATTAGATGAATTTTTACAATTAGCTTCATTTCATTGGATTAAATTCTATAATTAACTCCATTTCATTGGATGAATTTTTATAATTAACTTCATTTCATTGGATTAATTTTTATAATTAACTTCATTTCATTGGATGAACTTCATTTCATTGGATAAATTTTTATAATTAATTTTAGGTCGTTGTTATCCAATCACAACGTTTGTGATGAACACTTATGGGGATATTACCGACAAACCTTCGGATTATTAAATGACGTGCTCAATAATGAAAAATTATCTGTAATGTCCTACAGTATCTCCCAGAAGTATAGTAATTACATTTAAAATTCCAAGGATAATTTGTCACATTTATTTTTCTTTTTCTTTTTTTCAAACGTTGCTGTATTTGGTAAGAGCTGTCAGACAATTTCACTTTTGTCAGGGGTGGGGGTGTTTTTAATATTTTGAATGATTTTAAGTAAATTGTTTTCATAGCAAAATCATTCCACTATATTTTCGAGTTCCAACAGAGACCCTTTCACTGAATTAGAGTTTCCAGCTTTTATCTGACCGTCTTTGACTTGATTGACATGTCTGAGTCGTATTTCTAATATTAGAACAAGAAATACAGATACCACTATTGTTATAGACACGATATATATCTTTACATATTCACAAATATAGATGTTGTATATGTAAGCCACGGCCGATCCTAACGCCTGGAACGCTATACAGATCGCAAACGTTGGTTCTGGGTTTTTGTGAAAAGCTGATCCTACCAGTGCTGTAAATGATAAAGAAACGTATCAATGTATGAACACTGTATATGTAACAATCCAAATATAACACGTGACTTTAATATTAAGAATAAACGTTAAATGAAAAATCAGACGGTAATTGTTAGGTGTTTTTCGTTTAATGCCATTTTTAGAGGTCTTGGCAATATCAGAGGGTCTGAATAGGGGGTCCTACATTTTTTTATTTTTTTATACATTTATTTTGCACTTTTTGTTAATTTTTCTCTATTCTGTAAACCCCATTCAGACCTCCCTCTATTGTGAGATTTTTGTTTTCGTTTTGTTTAGTTACTGATATAGGAGACTATGGAAAGAGTTAACAGAATATTGCAACAAATTGGGCCAACAAAAAATAAAGTATAGAGAAAAGTAGACCAAAATAATAAAGAATAGAGAATATTTTGGGGATCTAAAATATAAAGAGTAGAGAAAAATTATCTTAAGAATTAAAGAGTACAGAAATGGACCCCTGATCTAGACCCTCATATAGTTGTCTGTATGCGTTTAACACATTTTTCTATTTTGTTAATATTTAAATGAATCGCTACTTTCGATTTGCCTTTGTTTTTTCTTATAGCGTTAAAAAAACCTTGCGACTTCTTTTGCCTGGAAACATAGTTCGAAAAAAGTTCAAATTCATATTGAGTCACACAGACCCGGCAACAGAGGTATGAAGCAGAAGAATAAAACCTTACCCATACTTTGCGTCATCCATATTGAGTCGCACAGACCCCATAACAGAGGTATAAAGCAGAAGAATAAAACCTTATCCATACTTTGCGTCATCTATATTGAGTCACACAGACCCCATAACAGAGGTATAAAGAAGAAGAATAAAACCTTACCCATACTTTGCGTCATCCATATTGAGTCACACAGACCCCATAACAGAG